ACAATGTATTTGGGCACTGAGGTCATCTATAAGATGTCATGAATAACATACTAAAAGTCCTAAGAAAATACTGTTGCGGAAATAGGTTAAATATGCAAAATTCCAAGATGGCCGCCATAAATATTTAATGTCTCATATCTCGACTATCACAAGAGACATATTTTTCAAAAGTTAGTTTGCCTGCAGAGAAAATCACTGTAGAACCTCTGAGTCTGGAGAATAAGATTTTTGAAATATTGGTTAATTTTCCCTTTGGGGCCCCGCCCTGGCCCCTAGGGTTGGGGTAGGAATCTCAATTTTACAATTTAAAACCATCTTCCTCCAAAGATAATTATCACAAAGTAAAAATAATTTCCTACAGACCGTTGTCAAAATATACCCAAAAGTGTTTTTTCCCTATATAAACTATAGTAAACTTGACACCCTCCCCATGGGAGAACGGATAGCTCGGGGGTCCTGAATTATACAATTTAGATAAAGTCCCTAATGATCTTTCTTTTCATGCAGAGAAAATCACTGTAGTACCTCTGAGTCTGGAGAAGAAGATTTTTGAAATATTGGTTAATTTTCCCTTTGGGACACCACACTGGCCCTTAGGGTTGGGGTAGGAATCCCAATTTTACAATTTAAAACCCTCATCCACAAAAGCTGATTCTGACCAAGTGTGAAAGAAATCCATCCGCTGGTTCTTGAGAAGAAGTTGAAAATGTAAAAAGTTTACGGACGACGCACAACGGACGACGGACGGGAAGTGATTAGAATAGGTCACTTGATCGAAGCTCAGATGACCTAAAAAGCCGCCAAGAAAACTCTATGTAATACAATGCACTTGGTTTAGATACGAGTTTTATGTACACAGACTTATACTGGGAAAATAACATAATGCTTCGTATGCTTTACATCGTGAAAAAATGCTAAACTAAAGGAACCCCATATTTTTCATAATGATACATTCTTCTTTAAAAAGTACTAATATAATGTTTAACAAAATGATTTGGAAAACAGCAAACTTCTTAGGTGAATACTTATAGGTAGTTTACTTTCAAGTATCGCAACACATCATCAATCGATTTACAATATATAAAAATATATGTCTGCCTCACCAATTAACACCATAATTAGCGTCTATGGCCTCACGTGTATTGTTCTGCTGGCGACAACTGCTTCTGTCTGTACTGAAGTACGTGATGTAAAACAGTGCATCAATACCAATCTGTCAGCCTGCCACGAACACGCTCTTTATTGATCGGTTAACAAAAAGCCTACAGGAAATGTACCGAAGTCAGGACTGTTCCTTGACCTGCTTGGAAAACTCAATTAAATTTCGTTATGTGATCAAACTAGAACACTGACAGGTCAGTAAGGGCCCCGTCTTGTGGCAATATGACCCCCATAATCATCAAGAAGCAATCTGCCCAAATAGCTGTGAGCTTGACATTTGGACTTCAAAAAGAATCGCAGGGAAGCAAAATAAACATTTTACATGTACTGTGATGTGAGTCTTGTTTCCTTCCACCTCCATATTTGCTGGGCTAACAGAAATGTAAATACTGGTGCAATACTTATTTGTTAGCTTTGATTTGTTTTATTTCACCTTATATACCTCCTCCATCAAGAGCCAGGGTCAAAGTCAGATATCCACTTTGTCTTTTACCTTTGGACCCAAATAACCTTGACCATTAACCCAGTGACCCTGATCTTTGGTTAGTTGACTTATTCTTTATTTCCGACCAACTTTGCTTCTTAATATCATAACAAAATGTTCATCAGTGAAAAATACAAAACTTGACCTTGACCCTTTGGACCCCGTTACCTGGACCTTTAGTCAATTGACTCCTTGTTTAACTCTGAGCTACATTGCTTCAAAGTGTCATAGCGAAATGTTCACCAGTGAAAAGATTCAAAATTTAACCTTGACCTTTGGTCAGTTGACTCCTTGTTTAATTCTGATCAACTTTGCTTCATCATGTCATAACAAAATGTTCATCAGTGAAAAGATGAATTATTTGACCTTGACTTTGGAATCTAATGACCTTGACCTTTGACATCGACTTTTTACCTCAGTGTCTCTTTGTTTAATTCCGAACAATTTTGCTCCATAATGTCATAGCGAAATGTTCACCAGTGAAAAGCTACAAAATTTGACCTTGACCCCTAACCGGATGACCTTGACCTTTGGTCAGTTGACTCCTTGTTTAATTCTGATCAACTTTGCTTCATCATGTCATAACAAAATGTTCATCAGTGAAAAGATGTAAAATTTGACCTTGACCTTTGAACCTTATGTTACTGGCCAAATATCATCACCCTAGGTGTCTCGGTTCTTCAGAAGAAGTTGTTTAAATGTTTTTTAACATATTTGACCCCAGTGACCTTGAATATGATTCAGTCATTTATTTGAAAAATACTTGGTAGCCCTTCATTTCAGCATGTTACTGGAAAAATATCATTACCCTAGGCCTCTTGGTTATTCAGAAGTTGTTTAAAGGTTTTAAATATATTTGACCCCTATGACCTTGAATATAAATCAAGGTCATTTATTTGAACAAACTTGGTAGCCATTCATTTCAGCATGTTACTGGCCAAACATCATTACCCTAGACCTCTTGGTTATTCAGAAGTTGTTTAAATGTTTTTAACATATTTGACCCCAGTGACCTTGAATATGATTCAGTCATTTATTTGAAAATTACTTGGTAGCCCTTCATTTCAGCATGTTACTGGAAAAATATCATTTCCCTAGGCCTCTTGGTTATTCAGAAGTTGTTTAAAGGTTTTAAATATATTTGACCCCTATGACCTTGAATATAAATCAAGGTCATTTATTTGAACAAACTTGGTAGCCCTTCATCCCAGCATGTTACTGGCCAAATATCATTACCCTAGGCCTCGTGGTTATTCAAAAGAAGCTGTTTAAAGGTTTTAAACATATTTGACCCCTGTGACCTTGAATATGAATCAAGGTAATATATTTGAACAAACTTGGTAGCCATTCATTTCAGCATGTTACTGGCCAAATATCATTACCCTAGACCTCTTGGGTATTCAGAAGGTGTTTAAATGTTTTTAACATATTTGACCCCAGTGACCTTGAATGATTCAAGGTCATTCATTTGAACAAACTTGGTAGCCCTTCATCCCAGCATGTTACTGGCCAAATATCATTACCCTAGACCTCTTGGGTACTCAGAAGTTGTTTAAATGTTTTTAACATATTTGACCCCAGTGACCTTGAATATGATTCAGTCATTTATTTGAAAATTACTTGGTAGCCCTTCATTTCAGCATGTTACTGGAAAAATATCATTACCCTAGGCCTCTTGGTTATTCAAAAGAAGCTGTTTAAAGGATTTAAACATATTTGACCCCTGTGACCTTGAATATGAATCAAGGTAATATATTTGAACAAACTTGGTAGCCATTCATTTCAGCATGTTACTGGCCAAATATCATTACCCTAGACCTCTTGGGTATTCAGAAGTTGTTTAAATGTTTTTAACATATTTGACCCCAGTGACCTTGAATGATTCAATGTCATTCATTTAAACAAACTTGGTAGCCCTTCATCCCAGCTTGTTACTGGCAAAATATCATCACTCTATGCCTCTTGGTTATTCAAAAGAGTCTGTTTAAAGGTTTTTAACATATTTGACCCCTGTGACCTTGAATATGAGTCAAGGTCATTTATTTGAACAAACTTGGTAGCCCTTCATTTCAGCATGTTACTGGCCAAATATCATCACCCTATGCCTCTTGCACGCTGCACCATGCCATAAGCTCAGATGAGCTTAAAATAACAAAATGTCACGTTTTCAAAGTATAAGAACCTGAGAAGTGACATAAACTAACAAGGGACATAATGAACATAACAAAACAACAACTTTATTATTGCCTACATAGACACCTAAAACTAGTACAATCTCTTCTGCAACCCGCTTCTCTCGAAATCCTGTGTTGTAAGTTTGTGCGTCAGCAGTCGACATATTTCTTGGAAATCAAGATATTCAGAGCAAATCCTTAACACAGAATAGCCTGCGACAAGTGAGCACTAGATGTAGGTAGACGAAGCAGGAAAGTTACTATCAACAAAGGGAAAGCACGATATAAAAATTGTACAGCTTAGTAGTAAGCCGTCCGTTGGTTTTTAGTAAAGGTCGAGAAAAGCGGACGATACTGAAGTATGTAGTGTCCTTGAGTTCAGGAAATACTGTGGAAAATGCACATCCTCATTGTTTTATAATAAATCTGATAAAGTTCTCAAAAGGATAATAGCACATTCGTCAGCGACATTATGTGTCAGTTAAAAGCTTTACATGTCTCAGATGATTCCATATGAAGGGTTTGCTCTGAATATTACAATTTCTGTGAAAGATGTCGACGACAAGGTTGCCACAGACACAGGTTGGTGGTGACTACGGGCATGGGGTTTTGTTAACATAATTCTCAGTTGAAATATTTCTCCTTTCCCTTGTGCAATGCAGAAAAGTCCATATTTACGATTATACTGATCAATGGGTATATTGATTTCGCTGTCACAGCCCCTTTCTCTCATGAGGACATAACAGTACTTGAATTTGACATAAATGTACATCGCATGAAGCAGAAAACTTTACCATTTCGCAACTTCTGATTTTATTTTCCTTGTAAGTTTTCAATTGTCTCTATGTAAATATTTTCTTTGTTCATGTTCTGCTTTAGTTTTGTCAAGTTTGAGTTAATTTATTCACACCTTTTTATTTCCCATTTTTGTAGAAAAGTGGGGATTTGACATTTACTGTTGAAGTTTTTATGATACAAGTAAAGATTGCATTTCTAAGAAGCACATCTGCCTTCAGATTGAAATGTTGACACCAATACATCATTCAATAACAATCTGTATTGCCATCTAGCATCAATATTTTCACACGTAATCGGTAATAAGGACATATATTTTCTTTACAGAAATGTAAATGTAAAATGCAGTGTCACTAGAACCAGAATTAAAAATTATATAATACATATAGGTTGCACAAAACATTTTATTCGTGAAATATATGCATCTTATGATGTATGCATTGTATGTGTAATACAGAACATGCAATCCTGATCGTCACTTAACCAAACAGGAATGTTGTTAAATATTGATTTATTTTATACCATAGTATCAATTCCTGAAATGTTTGCGATCATAAATAGACCATGAAATAATACAAGGGTCGTATACGCTCTTGAAGAGGCTACTCTACCCAGAAAGGACACTTTATTTTTTTAGTTAACACTGGGGGATAAACTATACCAATATAAACAGAAAATTACACATAGTTCAAATATATTAGAGTCAAATAGGGTTTTGATTAACTTTCTTCTCCAAACTAGTATTAGGTTGAAAAAATAGGATTCTGAAATTGGTATCAAATACATAGCATTACATTGCACATCAATTAAGAAAGTTGTGTTTTCATAATTATTTCCAAATTCAAACAATCCATAATAAGCAGCCAATAAAGATGATATAATGATTGGTTGACATTAAAGTATCATATTGTGAAAATGGCATATACTTACATAAATACTTATTTGAATATCATGTCTATTTCTTCTATTTTCAAGAAGTGTCCTGTTTTGGGTACACTAATGTTACATTGAAATAAAAGAACACAACCAAAGTGTTTTGAGAATAATAATTTAATGATGTCCTTGTAGCTCTTGATCAAAATACAATTTCATTTGTCCTCTGACAATCATCCTAGTCCCACTGTCAGCAGTAACAGGTTATATTATCCCCTCCCATCCCAACTACTAGCCAGCAAAACAATTTGCTGAGAAATTTATTTTGCATACAATACAAGAAATTCTACCTATCAACTGTTATCACAAATAGAAGCAACAAAGCACTTGAATCAGGTTGTACTAGTTTAGTTGGTATTGAATCCTCACCGCAGGAGTGGTGTTTGATTATTTAACTATCTAGTCAGAAAGGAATATCAATTCAAAATTAAAATTATTCCTAGCTTTTTCACCAAGGAATAAGTGTTTCTGCAATAACATCATTACCTTCCTGTCATTGCATGCTTTTTTATGCAATTGCATATCATATGGTGTGCAGAAATCTCTAGTTTAGAAATCACATTTTGTTTTCCAGTCCGTTATTGGATGTTGTAGAACTGTCGGAGGAACCTGTCCACTCAGTCTTCACAGCTTCACCGTAATGGTACTCAACAGTCCTAAAATATTAGAAACAAACTGCTTCACAGAATCAAGTTCTGTTTCAGTTCGGATAGTATGAAGCAGACTGTCTCTAAGGGAGATAATCCAGACCTTTAGGCAGAAGAGCAGTCTCAATCTTCAAGGAAGAAATAGTTTCCAGTTTTCTTCTGCTCAGAATCCTGAAAGATATACAACAAACAGTTTAAACAACAGTTGACTGCTTTTAGCAAATATGTTTTACCTAATGCTATAAACATACATATTCTTTCCAGTCCTGATGTGATATTATTACAGGATTTAAGCTATTTTTTTCACAAATACACTCTTTGGGTTTTCCAATTTATCATAAACATACATATTCTTTCCAGTCCTGATGTGATATTATTGCAGGATTTAATCTATTTTTTTCACAAATACACTCTTTGGGTTTTTCAATTTATCAATCTTGAGGAAGAGAAAAAATCAAACATAAATTTCAATCATCAACTTTTGGCTTAAAAAAAATTGCCAGAGAACCAATTTTGTAATGTCTAATAGGAGAGAACAAAAAACTGTTAGTCGTTTAGATGTTGTGTAGTATCTGTGTATTAACATGAAGCTTTGACTGTTCTGTAAGGAGCATGCTCAGACATGGTGTACAGGTCAACAAATGATTCACTAGGGAAGCTGTTTTAACATCCAATTCACCTTGGAATTTGTTAATCAACATCAAATTAGACATTTCTATCACTTGCCTGAACTTAACTTTGTTTGCCACTTTTAGCTTTGAAATATGCATCCCCATTAGATACCTATAAACTTCAAAATGGCTAACTTCTTACATAGACAATTAACCATATGACATAACTGAAAGGACAAACCTTTCGTCACTTTCTGAATATGCAATTTGACAATGAGACGGCTGCCAGGGGCTGCACATCTCTACTTGAAAACACGTCTGATTGACTTGTGATGTTGATACAGAAATTATTTTCATCAAGAAGGACCAAAGTGTACGAAATGAGAGAGGAAGGATGAAAAGAAGTGAATCTGTACGATCATACCTTGACCGAGTTACGTTTGTTGATCCTCGGTCGGAAGTTGTTAGGGTCTCTTCTAAACGTGATCTCCAAGGACATCAGGAATTTGTTCATTCCATTCAACAATGACTGTGGTCTACAAACAGAAAGTTAAATGTATGTTTACAAGTGTTTCGAATGTATGTTTCTTATTTTCTTTTAGAATCTTAAATTACTACTTTTTAACCTTTCCAACAGATATCTTATTGAAGTCACAAGGATAAACATTAAACCAGATCTCGACAAAGAATTTGACTTTCACTATAATAACAGTGTACAGCCATATTCAAATATCCAGACTGGAGTTTCATTTTCAGGAAGGAATGCTATATAATAATCAAGTATCACAATGATCACTTTCAGATTATCCCTAAGATACATTCGAATAATGAATGATGGAAGAACAGACAGTATTACTTACGCATTGGCTCTGGTATCGATGCCAGGATTTCCATCAAACACTATCACACGGTCTGCCAGGTAGGTAGCCATGATGAAATCGTGCTCCACCACAAAGGCAGTCTTCTTAGCATGCAAAATAAATCTGTGGCAGGAAACAGAAAAACTATGAACAAACTATCAAAACATAATATTTCCAAACTATTTCAAATGGTTAGCTAGTGTTTTTTCCTGAACTTGACAGTTGACAATTATTAGATACTCCCATGTTTCTTCAGTGCAGCATTAACCTATGTAGGAAGTGATGCTAATGAGAGAATACAATCTGTTTGTGTGGTGTCATTCAAACCATCGTTTTTCTGTAGTAATAATAGTGTTTAACCTTTTGATGACTTTAGCAGCATGTAGACGCTGCTCTGAGTCAAGGTAGGCAGACGGTTCATCTATCAGATACACATCAGCTGGTTTTCCCAGACACAGACACAAGGCCACCCTCTGCAACTCTCCTCCAGACAAGTTCTGTACCTGAGGTGGTGACAAGTGAAAACATTGATAACATATATTGTCAATTATAAGTGCCTCCCTACACCCCTGATATATTCATAAACAGTCCTAAAGAGTAGATTAATTATTTTGAAATCTACTAATATCAATATATATAACCAGTGTGAACTTAACTTCAGTGAATTTTATGTCTATATATATCGAGAACAGGGTTCTCCCCAGAATTTTTTTAAGCTGATATGTTTCATTTGCAACGAACATTCAAGACGGACACGCTAATATAATACCTTATCAAACCTAAGGGGGTGGGGGGTATTATTATGTTTAAAAAGTTACTTTTAATTACCAAACTTCTTTTGGTGAACATTAAAACCAAGGAAATAAATAAGTGTTTCTTATGTCTGAATTTTCAGCAATATTATTGTTTTAAATATTCTAAAAAAAATACAATTGATAGAAAGGTGTATGAGTTTTGTACATTGAATAATAGATATGACATTTGTGACATTTGTCTCTTATCTTTACNTATTAAATACTGCTGTCAGTAAATGTGATCAAAGATTAAAACAGCATTTTTATTTGAGCTCTTCTTCATTAAAAACGACAAATCCGGAATTTCATTCCCCTTTCCGGTTTGTACTTTACACAATCCAAGATGGCGACCATCACTAACTGAATACACACGCTATTTCAGCGTTGTCAAATGCAATCATATGTGAGTAAATTAATTTATAATAGATGTAATAAGTGTTTGTTTTGTTAATCCAACAGTAGGTACCTCAATTAATCACCTATTGACCATGCTAAAAGGATCCGGTGATAATTGCTTTAGGCTCCAGTGAGCACGCTTATTGCCGGACACCTGTGGGCTTGTCGTCCGGTCCCCCTCCCCACTAATTACAGGCCCCCTGTGGCAATACGCCTATCGTGCAACTGACCATTGGGGTCATTGCTGGACTTGGGTCAGCCGTGTGATTTAATCAGTGTCAATTTCTTGTGTAAAAAGACCACCTTCAGTACAAATAACAAGGTGATACGGTTCACAGTTTAAGGTGATACGGGTCAATTAAGCTGATACGGCAGGGAGGATTTCAAAATGAAGCTGATACGGAGCCGTATCAGCTAAATGGCCTGGGGAGAACCCTGGAGAAGTTCATGTTCATATTTTTTCATTGTTTTAAATAAACTCTTCATTTTAAATAAATTCTGCCCTGATGCTTACCTCCTGGTCCATAATGACCTCAATGAGCAATGGCTTCATGACATCGGTAACAAACTGTGGGTGAATATAAGCGTCACGTATACGTTCGTGCAGCAGCTGTCGCACAGAGCCTTGAGATTTTGGACTGATTTTCTGTGGCTTGTAACTCACATTCAATACAGGACATCTCTCTACAACAACAAAATAATTGTCTTCTGAGGCACTGCACATTTTCTACAACATTTAAACAGTGTTTAGTCAGGCTTCAACTGTAGTTGGAATTAAAATAAATCTCTTTTCTTTGAATTTGAATGGAAGGTAAGGCGGCAGAGATGTCTTAAAACAATCATGAATTCTGTCCGTCACATCATACAATTGTATCTTCAGTCGCTGAATTGTCTTTGTGAAACAAAAGATTGTAGCACAGCAACATATTTACATAGAAATCTATATTTAACGAGTTAACCAACACAAACTTACCACACAGGATTAAAAAAGAAAGTACTCTCTATCCATTAGGTAATGATCAGTGCCTCGAAACTCAAAATCACACCGTTGTCAATAAAGTTTAGCCAAAAAGAGAAGATTAAAACAGCAAATATCCATTGATCACTAATACATTTTGCCCTACCTCCTCCATCAGGCTCGAGTTTGCCAGCCATCATTCTGATGAACGTAGTCTTCCCTGTACCATTCTCTCCCAGCATAACAATGATCTCGGAGTCGGTGAACTGGCCTCCAACAACACTCATTTTGAAAGAGCCTGATGATAGAATAAAGATAAGGGTAATACAATTGCTAGTGTTCAAAGTAAAGTAGAACAAGGGTAATACAATAGCTAGTGTTCAAGGTATAGAAGAACAAGGTTATTACAGTTTTAAGTGTTCAACATAAAGAAGAACAAGGTTAATACAATTGTAAGTGTTCAATGTAAAGTAGAACAAGGTTAATACAATTGTAAGTGTTCAATGTAAAGTAGAACAAGGTAAATACAATTGTAAGTGTTCAATGTAAAGTAGAACAAGGGTAATACAATTGTAAGTGTTCAATATAAAGAAGGACAAAGTTATTACAGTTTTAAGTGTTCAACATAAAGAAGAACAAGGGTAATACAATTGTAGGTGTTCAAGGTAAAGTAGAACAAGGGTAATACAATTAGTGTTCTCCCCAAGCTGTTTTAGCGTAACACATCAACTGACATATTCTTACAAATCATGATAGGCCTACCCTCTTCGCCCCATTCCAATTAGACTCACCCTTATTAGACTAGCTTTCTATTGTGCTCTATGATTGACACCCTTATAAACGAGCTCTGCCCTGCGGGTAGATTTACCTGTGGGGATGTGAACTACGTATAGGTGTGAAACATGAACAATAGACCACAATTACCAGCGTGTAATTTGTCTAATTATAATTAATGGTGTTTGTTAATTATCTAGGCTTCAATCTACGTTTTGATTTTCATAGGTGACTGAGAACCAAAATAAGAAATACAAACAGAAGTTCAGCACCAAACGTCTGCTGACCTACCTTTGCTGTATTGTTTTTGCCTTCAAATTTTAATGCTTAAAATAAGTAAGCTATGTGAGAAGCTTATATCAACAAAAGACTGTCGATACAGCTTTTAGAAAACTTAAAATAATTTGGCTACAGTAAGATAGATCGTAAGTGAGCAGACTGCATGTGGTGGTCATGTTGTTTTGATAACCTGAATAATGTTACGTAATCTGTGATGCAATGGCTTTTGAAACATGGATGACGAGCGTTAATCATTTTTGCACCAAATTTATAAATAGCACATGGTTTTTCCTAGTTTGACAGTAACATTACAATAATCCAATTTGATAACTTTATCACTATTTAAGTTTATATTGAAAACAGCTTTGTTGTGATAAAATTTAGATTTGTTTTGTTTACTTAATGATAACAGGTAGATAGGCTGGTTAATTTCATAACTATAAAGGATTTTGTTTTTAATTAAATTTTAAAATAAATCATTGATTTAAAAATTTATCAGTTATTTGTCAAAAATAAATACCTTTGAATGGAATGTTGTGTAAATTATTATACATCCTCAGATATTTATTCATTTATTTCTATGATGATATTCTTGTAAAGAAAATGCTGAAGTATTTGCTAAAATTTTCATTTCTTGAGTCAGACTATTTTTTTGGGAAATATTAAAAAAATAAGAAAAAGAAAAGGGCAAGAAAACGAGCAATAAAAATGCAATGTTAAGATTAAAGTAATGATATTTATTTACAATTATTAAACTTCATCAATCATATTTTTTTTAACTCTTGTTAAGAGTTTCCTTTCTGAAAGTGGCGTCTTACACGATTGATGGGGTGCGACAAGGAAATGGTTCACAGCACGGCCCTGTGATGGAAGGGTAAAAAAATAGATGCCATAGTGCATCAAAAAAATTCTGGGGAGACCACTGAATTATAAGTGTTCAAAGTAAAGTAGGGCACCTCATATTTAACCTCATTTTACCAACATGGATTAAATTTGGTCAAAAACAACCACTGCTACCACAAATTTTTCATGTACATATTCTCAAAAATATATTTCAGAATTAAGTGATATTGATGTTTTCAATATCAAAATGCATCAAACACAAACAAATTTGAAGCAGATATTGTGGCATAACAAAATGAAGGTTGAAAACTTGATTCCATTTTCCGTAGAATCATAAATGCATTATTTTTTAAAGCATAACACAAGAAAAATGGTAATTTACTGCATAGTGATAATATTTCGCAGACTTTAGTTTTGTTATATACAAGCTGTGGATATTTTTGTTTCATTTTTTTTTACTTGTTTAGGGGAACTGTGTTTACACGAGTCAACCTTGCATCCTTCAGGGAAGCAAATGTTTACCCTCATTAAATAGCAATACACATTTACCACATACCTAACTTTTTCGTCATTGTAGGGTACTCATATCGACACATCCTCTTGATCTCTTCCTCCATTGCTGTTTCGGCCACTTTGAATGTTAGCGAGACCTCTCGGAATCGTAAATTTTCCGTGGGAACAAATCCATCAAGGAATATGTTTATACCTGTAAGTAGAAAATTCCTATAAAAACACATTTTCAATAAATTCACATTATGTACACATTTATATTTTTTCAAACCAAATCTGTCAACTCATCCGTCCTTAAATGACCATAGCTGTTGATAGGATGTTAAAAAATACTTAATCAAACCAAACCAACGTAAACTCATGTCGAGGATAATTTTATTTTTAAATTACTATATCATTAGACACAAGATGGTGTTTTCTGATAAACCTTTAGCAGACAGAGGCTAGCTTTGGATACTGCTATGAAACTAAAACTAATTTTATTCTATCTTATATATTTCATCAATTTCAAACATTTAAACTTATTTTATTTTAACTATGACACCCACTTCGTTCATTCTAACTTCTGAACTAAATTTGATCATTGGTACCTATAACATCCTACCTTGGTCTTTAATTCAATGTGAAAATTAAACCTATTATTGTCCAGTAACAGTAAAGTTATTTTATAGAGACTTCAGTTATAAAGGCAATTTGCACCATTGTTCAGTCTGAATGTGAACAGCATTTTCCATCATTCATCATCAGTCTTTTTCAAAAGTTGACACTGCTGTACAGTAGAATAATAAATATTATGTAGAATAATACAAAAAATTATACTATGATAATGTGATTTCTACCTGCAGATTTTTAAACATAAGGTTTTAACATTTTTTTATTACATTGTCTTTTCTATATAAAATTATGTTAAAATTGATTTCTCCTCCATTCCAACATACAATTTAGGATTTAATATAACAGTTTTTTTCCATAAAATAAAATAGATTTGTGTTCCCTCAAAAAATAAGTTCAACTTACCATAAGCAGCATGAAAGCTGTTTTTTATCGACCTCGCAAGTACAAGATGCTTTTACATACCTTCTCGTACACTGAAGGGCATAGTGACCACACCATAGGCCCCTGGGACACCGTATAGACAGCAGATGAAATCAGACAAGTAATCAAGGACTGACAAGTCGTGCTCCACAACAATAATGTACTTGGTCGGGGCGATGAGGTCTCGGATCGCTATAGCAGCCTTTAATCTCTGTTTTACATCCAGGTAACTAGATGGCTCATCAAACATGAAGCTACAAATGAACGTACTTATAAAAAACTTCATCGCAGAACTGTGAATTTTACCTCGCATAATTTAAGCAAGTTTTTCTCCAGTGTCGTCACTTTAAGTCATGAATTTATATATTATTTAGGCCCAACTATTATTGTTTCCTTTTTTGACTTGCATATAATTTAAATGATATACAAGAACTGTGTCTCCCAGTGATATTCACAATTTCTTCAATACAACTTTTTATGTACATGAACACACAGAAATGAACAACCACAACATAATAAATTCCCAGATCGGATGTAAAAAGGTTTGCGGTCACCTGCCCGAACCACGTGGATATTATTCAGGTACTCTGGTTTCTTTCCACATTAAGAACCCTGTGCGATATCATCCGGGCCAACTAGACTGATTAATATAACTTGTTGCAAAATTATCGTAAAATATTTGAAGTTTATATGTACTGAACAACTATAACGTACATGTCCGCATCCTGTATACACACGATAGCACAGGCAAATCTCTGCAGTTCTCCGCCAGACAAAGCTTCTACATTTCGGTCTCGTACATGGAGCAAATCTGAAATTATAAACAACTTCAAAATTAACAAACTACAGTGAAAAATGTTAGATCAGACAATCTGTGCACGTGGGAACCACAGAATTGGACGGATCAGACTGGCCAGTATAACACACTGGTTTTTCTGAAGGTTTGATAAGACAAGAGGCCCATGGGCCTTAACGGTCACCTGATATATTTATACAGAGAGTTGATTTTGTTTTTAACATGAACAGAAATATTATTCAAAGTGACAAAAAACAATAAAACCACCTTATTCAATAACTAGCATACAGATTTCAGACTAAAAAGGATTTTAAACTAGCACCTCTGATTCTAAACAAGGAAAATGAAGAAATTTTAGCACATTGACTCCTTTGAGCCCCACCCTACAGCCCTTGGGGGTAGGGCTGGCTCAAAATTTTCAAAGTATCAAACTGTCAATTCAAGGTTATAATTCCAATCAAGTTATTAACATGTAATATTCAAAGTATCA